GTCAGGGAGGGAGCAGGAGTTGGGGCAGGAACAGGAGTCGGGGAGGGGCGGGAGCGGGAGTCAGGGTGGGAGCAGGAGTTGGAGCAGGAGTGGGGCAGGAACGGGAGTCGGGGTGGGGGCGGGAGCAGGAGTTGGGGCAGGAGCGGGGTGGGAGTGGGAGTCAGGGTGGGAGCGGGTCGGGAGAGGGAGTCGGGCAGCAGCGGGCAGCAGTGGGAGCTGGGCTGCAGCCGTCTGTGTTAGCTCAGACCCCCTGGAGTCTGGGAGTGGGCCCTGCGTGCCCCACGGCTTGCAGTCTGATTCTGAGCAGTCGCATGGTCTGAAGGGTGGCGTGGAACTGTGGCTGTGACCCAGATCCCCTGTGGACTGTGGTGCACTGATCCCACGGCCGACCTCACCTTGGCTTCGCACCCTGGGGGGCAAATGCAACTGACACATGCTGCGACCTGCCCCTAGGTGGCGACGCAGTGTGGAGGGCCACCCGTTCTTGGGGAGGGAGCAGGGTCCCGGGAGGACCTGGAACCACTTTCCCGCTCTGTGACCCAGATCCACACTTGGTGCTGGCCCTCAGGAGTGTGGGGACAGGTGAGACTCAGGGCTGGCCCTGCGGGAGCCCACATGTGGCCTGGCGCTCCATGCTCACAGACTTGCTGGGGGGTCGTGGCATGTCTGCGAGTGCCCCCTGGCTGCTCATGGCTGCTCTCTGGGCGCCACGCTGAGCTCAGCTGCCACATGGGAGCTGCGTGGACCTGGCCCACCATTTAGCTTCTCCGAGGCTCAGTTTCCTCGTTTACTGAACGGAAGCCATCAGAATGGCGCTGCCCTGAGGCGGAGCCGAGAAGGCGCTCTCCGTGGGGTCTGTGGCCGCTCCTGTGTTCTGTGGGCGCTTTGAGCAGCGAGGGGGGGCTGAGCTTGGCTGAGCGTCTCCCCTGTGCCAGGCCCTCGGGGTGCCCCTCCACACTCTTCTCCTCCCTTGCGACACTGGTCTGTACAGGCCCACCTGGGAGACAGCGTGGGATCTGGTCCAGACCTCCGCAGTGAAGCGGACGTCACAGCCAAGCGAGTCACACGTGTTTTGCTTTCCAGTGCCTGTACAATTACAATACATGTAATTGTATATATTACATACACCGAGAAAATGGCTGCAGCTGTGGGCTGAGGGGTCGTGAGGCTGGTGCAGGACCGGCAGCGTTCCGTTCTGTACACGTAGGGTCGCTATGAGTCAGAGCCGACTTGACGGTACCTAGCAACAACGATGTCCAATGGTGGTGAACTCATATACATTAAGTGTACAGTGTGAAGTGTGCAATCGCGTGATGAAAAAGTTTGCACTGTGAGAACGACCAGCCTCGGGCCCAGAGACAGAGTGACCATGTGCTGTTGGAAAAACGGCTCCGAGAGACTTGCCCGACGCATGGTTGTCGTAAGCTTTCCATTTATGATAATGCAGAATCTGCCAGGTGCAGTAAGATAAGGCCTGCCTGTGTCCCACCCCTATGTTTCCAGGTGACAGAAAACTGAGGCTTATGGAAGTAATTGGCCCTGTGTTAAATGCTGTGGCAGGCGAGGTTTGGACACAGGTCTCGTTGAAGCCAAGACTGTGGCCTCTTGGCTGTGTTGCCTGCCTGCCCTTCCCCAGGCTCGCAGCCCTCTGGCTCTCCATTGGGGTGGAGAACGAGGCCCACTCCAGGCCCGGCTGTGCTGACCATGCCTTCTCTCTGCTCCAGGACCCCAGAAGACCTCTCCCGGTTTGTGGTGGAGCTGCAGCAGAGAGAGCTTGCTCTGAAGGACAAAAACAGCGCCATCACCAGCAGGTGGGTCTCGGAGGGGGGTGCGGCTTGGAAATGTGACGGGAGTGGGAGCCGTGGCTCTGCCCTGGGCCCGGGAGCCATGTGCTGGATTCCACAGGAGCAGGAGCCTCCTGGGGCTGGGCCCGTTGGGGCTGGGAGGGTGTGCGAGCCCACTGGGAGGGCAGGGGTGGCTGTACACGGCTGCCACGTGGTGGGCACACACCTGCGGCCACATCTTGCTATGCTTCTCAGTGCGTGTGGAGCCACCACCAGGGAGCCTGGGAGCCGTTCTGGGTCCCTGGTCTCTCTGAGAAAGATTGGATGCTCAGAGCAGGGCCGCTTCCATGTTTCCAGCCCATGTGAGGCTCTGACTGCTACTCAGTGTGTGAATCAGGACGCTGGGGTTGCAGTGTTTGTATGTGAGGGTGTGAGTGAGTGTATGTGTGTCTAAGAGAGAGTATGGGGTGTGTGTCTCTGTGTATGTCTGTGAGTGTGTCTGCATATGTGAATATCTGTGTGTCCACATGTCTGTGAGTATGTTTGTGTATGTGATATCTGTGTCTATTTGTCTCTGTGTGTGTATCTCCGAGTGTGTATGTCTGTGTGTCTGGGTGTATGAGTGTGTATGTGTGTGTGTGTGTGTGTTTGTGTCTGTGAGTGTGTGTATATGTGTGTCTGTGAGCATGTGTCTGTGTATGTATGAATGTGTGTGTCTGTGAGCATGTGTGTGCGTGTGAGTGTGTGTCTGTGAGCATGTGTGTGTGCGTGTGAGTGTGTGTGTCTGTGAGTACGTGTGAGTGTGTTTGTGAATGTGTGTGTGTGTTACGCCTGCACACTCAGGGAAGGCCTGTAGGAGCAGTAGGGCAGCCAGGATGCCTTTGGCTACAATCAGGTCCCCTAACCGGCGTTAGCCGTGAGGGGTTTGTTCTTTGCAGCCCCAGAACCCCGTCTGGGCCCCTTTCCACCGCCCTTGGCATGCCTGGGGGCTGCTGCTTAGGTGGGGCCTCTCGGGGCTGGGGCGGAGGGAGTCATCTGTCTCTTGGACGTTTCCAGGACCCCCAAGGTCAGCCAGTGCCCCTTGCGTCTCATTGGCCTCAGCTGGGTCCGTGAGTGTCTGGAGGAAGTGGCCCTTTAGTAACTGACTAGCAGCCAGAAGGGAGGTTTTCAGATTTGGGGGCCGATGTTGCTTTAAAAATTGGCTTTCAGAGGCACCGGGTTGTGTTGGCCACATGCACATCAGCTTATTTCAAACCTCAAACGGGGAAGGTTGCCACTTGTGTTCAAAGCCCTGTCAGATGAAATGGGTGTGATGGGGGGTCTGAAACGGAAGCTCCGGTGTTTGGCTGGGCAGTGCTCTCCGCTTGACTGTGAATTTGAAACAGGATCAATGATGGAGGGGGAAGAACCTTGTCTGTGGTTTCCCCCTGCCCAGAAGCTGGGCTCTTTCTGGAACTGCTCTGGCCGGCAGCCAGGCACACAGTGTCCCTCAGGGGCTGGGCAGCGTGCCTCCGTGGCAGGGTCCTGGTGCACACAGTTTCTCTCAGGGGCCGGGCAGTGCGCCTCCGTGGCAGGGTCCTGGTGCACACAGTGTTCCTCAGGGGGCCGGGCCGGGCACCTCCGTGGCAGGGTCTTGGTACACACAGTGTCCATCAGGGGCCGGGCACCTCTGTGGCAGGGTCCTGGTGCACGGGAAGTGGAGGGAATGGATTTGTTGGGGCCTTCAGGGTTTGAGGGCCTAGGGGTTAATGCGACTAACATTGGGTGACTCTGTCCTGCTTGTGGGGGAGTCTGTGCCCTGCTGTGCGTGGTTGGACTTGCTGTTGTGGGTCCTAAGCTCCCTGAAGGTCACTGTGCTGTGTAGGGCTGCATCTTGGGAGTGGCAGAGGGAGGGACGCAGCAGCTGTGTGCAGGGTGGGGAGGCAGGGACAGACCTCAGGGGCCAGGGCTGCTGGCTTGGACACAGGGAACCTGAACAAATGCCAGCTGGAGGGGCAAGACCTCTGGCCACAGAGGCCCATTTGGAGGTGGGAGTGACTAGTGGGCTCCCATATGTACGAGTGCTTATCTGTCACCGAGGCCTGACCGGGCAGTGGACCTTCAGTGCTGGGCAGAAGTAACACCCCCAGCCTGTTTCCCCTCCCTCTCAGAGAGTTCTCGGGAGGAGTGAACAGGCTGTTTGTCCTGGATGCCATGCACTTGTAAGGACCTGGGGCAGCCAGGCAGAAGGGTGAAGACCCACCCATTAGTGTGCTCAGGGCTGGCGTGTCCCACCGCCTCTGATCCCAGCCCAGGGCACATAAACCAGGAAAGCCTGAACGCTAGGATGGGTGCAGAGAAGAGGCAGGTGTTGCTCGTGGGACACTCCAACGTGGCCTGGTACCCTGCCAGGCATTCACACCACTGCCATGCTGTTGTACCATGACACATCTTGTTTGCTGAGAGTGAAGATGACTTGAAACACTTACTGATGAAGAGCAAAGACTACAGTCTTCAGTATGTAATCAAAAAAACACTCCACAGGGCTGGACCAATAAGCAACATCACAATACATGGAGGAAAGATTGAAGTTGTCAGGGACTTCATTTTACTCAGATCCACAATCAACACCAATGGAAGCAGCAGTCAAGAAACCAGACCACTTATTGCATTGGGTAAATCTGAAAAAAAAAAACCTCTTTGAAGTGTAAAAGAGCCAAGACGTCGCTTTGAAGTCTAAGGTGTGCCTGACCCAAGCCATGGTCTTTTCAGTTGCCTCATACGTGTATGAGAGCTGGACAATGAAGAAAGAAGACTGCATGAGAACCGATGGTTTGCATTGTGGTGCCGGTGAAGAATATTCAGCGTACCGTGGACTGCTCGAGGAATGAGCAAACCTGTCTTTGGAAAAAGTATGACCAGAATGCTTCTTGGAAGGGAGTGTGTTTGAGACTTTGTCTGACCTCCTTTGGCCATGATAGCAGGAGGGACCAGTCCCTGGAGATGGACATCATGCTTGGTAGAGTGGAGGTCCTTGAAAAAGAGGAAACCTTCAACGAGATGGATTGACACAGCGGCTGCATCAGTGGGCTCAAACGTCACCAGCTGTGAGGCTGCTGCAGGGCTGGGCAGGCTTTCATGCTGTTGACCGAGGGCCGCCGTGGGCCGGAACTGACTTGACGACACCTAATACTGGCGGAGCGTTCTGTGGCCGCTCTAACCTCTTAGCCCAGTGCTGGGTGTGGGTGTCTTCTCCCAGTAATTTGCTGTCATAAGCAATAGGGTTTTTGTTGCAAGCACTTTGTCCTCTGTGTCTATAGAATGAGCTGTGGAATGGTTGAGGGAGCGGTGTGCATATTTTGAGGGGTTTGGCCTTTGGAAGGTCCAGATGGACCTTTTGGAAGGTCCTCCACAAATGTTGCACGCCCACCAATTTATTAACCTGCTTCTAGGAGAAGAAAGACAGTGCCGGTCCTCAGGCAGACGTTGAGCAGTCACGCCCACTGTTGACTTGCCTCCACTCATGGTGTGTGTGTGTGGGTGTGTGTGGGGGTGTCTGATCTCCTCTGACTTCACGAGGGGAGAGAGTATCCCCAGGCTAGTTCCTCCGAGGGCAGACATGCCGTCACCCGTCAACCTTTCCACCAGTTTTGTCGCCAGCCTCCCCTCCTGCGGCACTCTGTTCCTCTGCTGGGTTTGGTAGTTCATTGCGACAGCCACACAGAACTCACAGACCATAGGACAGTTGTGGGGCTTGTTAGGGAAGTAACAGGTTACAATTCAGGTTCAGGAGCACTCAGTGGACGGTTCTTCGGTCAGGACAGCCTCCCCTCAGCTATGCCTGCAGGCACGCCTCTCTGGCCCTTGGCCTGGCCTCTGTCCTGCTTGGGTGAGTGTTACAAGCTCTTTTTTTTTTTTTAAGTTGTGATTTGGGTGAAAATTTACAGAGCAAATTCACTTTCCATACAACAGGTCACATACACTTTGTCTCATGACATGGACTACAATTTACCCCAATGTAATAGCTCCTTTCCCACTTCCTCCTGATAGTTACCTCTTCCCTGTGTCCTTCCCTCCATGCACCCCTGCCCCTTGAGCTGTCTCCCTGTGCATACACAGCCCTTCTTTCTCCCATGATTGTTCTCTCCGAGGAGCGTATCTACCTAGTGTAAATGTTTAACTCCTATGCCTATCTTTTGTTTGGCTGGAAGCCACAGGTGTGGTTCAATTTCAGACCTGAAGGGCAGCTAGGGGCCATAGTCTTAGGGGTTCCACTAGGCTCTATCAGACCAGCAAACCTGGTCCCCCCCGCTTTTTTTTCCCAAATGATTTTGAGTTTTGTTCCACATTATTCTCCTTCTCTATCCAGGATCTCCTACATAGATCCCCATCTGAGTGGTTGACAGTGGTAGCTGGGCACCATCTAGTTCTTCTGGTCTCATAGTTATATAGGCTGCGGATTGTGTGGTGCACGAGTTGGGGCCTAATTCCCCACGTGGCTCCTCCCCGCAGCTTCCAGGCCATCCTCCTGCTCTCTTGGAGTGTAACCAGGCCCCTGTCTCTGTGAGGCTGTGGCCGCATGAATCATGGCACTTGAGCCATGAAGAGGCCAGCAAGGCTGTGACAGGCAGGGCAGATTCATGGTGACGGGGACCTGCTTCTGTGTACCTGGATGCTTGCTGTGCTAGGCCTGAAGTACCGCAGTGGTGGCTTCAGGTGCTGTCCTGGCTCAGAGGCTGGCTGTCGTGTCTGTGGCTCGTGCCCACTGTCCTTGGATGATTATTGCCTTCTCCGTGCCTGTCACGGTGCTGCTCTCACCCATGGGTGTGGTGAGCATGGAATGCATCCTGTCTGGAGCATGTATGTGGCTGCTGCTTGGTACCCGGAGCACCGGGGCTCTTAAGTGCCGTCACTGATGCCAGCATCTTGGTTGTTCTCTGAGGTGTTGAGGAGGTGGGCGTCCGAGGCAGTTGAGGGCACTGGTTTCCCAGGCTCCACAGGGCTGGAGATGCTTTCTCTTGGTGACTGTCCTCACAGCTGTTGAATTG